GAAGAGTCCTTTGCTACGCCAACCAAAAGATCTTGTCCATGCCAATCAAAGGACACAGTTAACATGCCTGTCGAAGCTGCCTTGACACAATTCCAAATCGAAGGATCCCTTTCCAAGCCAATCGGAAGGCTTGGCCCAGGGTGCCAAACGAAAGGGTCTTTTAGAATGCCAATCGACGACCTTGACACAATATTAATCGAAAGGCTTGTCATGAGGCCAATCGAAAGGCCTTGTATCCATGCCAATCGAAGGGCTTGGCCATAATGCCAATCGAAACATTTTCTAAATGCCAATCGAAAGGCCTTGTGACATGCCAATCGAAGGGTATTGTCCATGCCAATCGAAGGGTATTGTCCATGCCAATCGAAAGGTACTTGAAACACTACTAAAAAAATTTCTTTTTCCTTAGACAAAGGTTTGTGACCAACCATGTAGGGGAAGACCTTGGAAAACATGAGAGGGTAAATTTTGGGGTACAACATCAGTCATAACACCTGAAAAGCAGAGGAAAAATATGAGCTCGACATCAATGCCAGAACCACCCTTCCACCGCTAATCAAGCGAAAGGGCACTGGGAAACGAGGATCGTGTCCCCTGCCAGAATCCTCACTAAGGCGCATTAATGGAAAGAGGTTACAGAAAAAGCCCTAAGTCATAATGGGCCATTTACGACACACCACGAAGTGCCCAGGGAGATTCCACAGTGGATCTGGTGATTCTAAACTACACAAACACTGTCTACCGGCAACACTCCCCAACTGAGTCCTTGCAAACAGAACACTAAACCCTAACCGCATGCATCTCTAGAAAGTAAATGGAGAAAATATGAACTACTGAAAGCGAACAACAGTGGAAAACTGAAAACTTACCAGTTAGTAGAAGAAGAAAGGCTGGAAATAGCAGTTGCGAGCGACAAAACTCAAGGAATGATGGTGGTCGACATTCGAGCTATTACGAGCAGTTGAGAGAGAAGACGAAAAACACTAAACACCATGCTCCTCTCGTATTTATAGCTGAGGCAGTTCGTGTGTGTGAATAGGCGTATGGGAAACTCTAGGGTCATCATCATTACACCCTAGCCCCTAGGTCATCATTGCGCCGCTTCGCTGCCACACTTCCCAAAACACTCTACCTCTATAAATTCAAGGGTCCTAACGACCAACTCCTCATCTCCTCGCGAGAAAGGCGTAACGGATAACAATTATTTCCCCGTAAGACGCGCCCCATTCCACGAGCAGGTGTTAAAGTCATCACTCCTGTACCTAGAAGCAACGACTTGGGGGGCTACTATTTTGGACTGACCCGACAACTTGAATGGGCCTAGTCTAGACCTTTCCTTTGGTACGGCCCGCACATCCATGACCCGAACCGCCCACTATCCATTGGGTAATATCAATCATTTTCTTTCCCAAGCAAGCATTGCCCTAGGATGATCAACGACCATCCTCTCAGCCTACCCGACATCAACGTCATGCAGGCCACCAGGAATCGACCAGAGAGATGCCCGTAACTGGCCCCTCCTCGGAACCAACAGCTAGTTACAGACACATCTTCCCAGTTTGACCAAGTTCTGGAAATTACCTGATTTTACGGATCCACATATCCAGGTGTGAAATCAGGAACCAATGGCCATGCGCCAGGGGAATTATATAAACCCTCACACCCGTGAGGGTCAGGTATCGAATATTCACTATTCACCACCAATACCTTAATACTCTACTTGTATCTCCTTGTTCCTACTCTTACTTGATCGTCAGAGTTCCTTGCAAGTACACCCCCTTTTTTCCTCCTCGACATCACAACCCAACTACAAATCATCTTCCGACCACTTCACAAGTTCTGATTAACCAGTAAGATTATACAATATAATTAATCAACTCACTCTCTAATTCACTTAACGCAACAACACAATTGCATAAAACAAAGATGTAAAAAAGGATAGTGAATTTGACATGAATTCACAATCAAGAGATTGTTTATAGAAGAAGAAGAGAAAGATCTATGGTGTAAAGATGAACATATTAAGAATATAAGACAAAGAAAACACTCATTATATTTATTGGTCTCATCATAGGTTTCACGCACTTATTACTTTCATTAAGGAAAAATTTATTTATACGAAATATGAAAAATGGATCTTTGAAGCAATGATTCAAATCAAGTGAAAATCCTTATTTAAATCAATTTTAGACTCTTGAACTTGTTGATTTAAATCAAGTGAAAACTATGATTCAAATCAATTTAGGCAGAAGCAAAATGAAGCTCCATAAGGGAATTTGATTCAAATCAATATATTTACTTGATTCGGATCACATGAGGTTGTGATTTGAATCATGTCTATTTCCCGATTCGAATCAATTCCATAAAAGATATATCCCATATTTCATACAGCTCGTGATTCTAATCATATATTGTACTTGATTCAAATCAATCCATTGGTATTTCAATTTTGATAACTTTAACTTGTGATTTAAGCTAAGCATGTGGAAATGATAATAGAGCAATCTCATAGGCTAAAAAATAGAATACTAACAAGGATTAAAGAAGTTAATTTCATGAAATATAGAGGATACATAGGTACAAGTTCTAATAGCCGAAGCAATTACAAATAATAAAAGCATATAAGCACTAGGAACAAATTGAATTCAAATTACAAATACACAATCCAATTTATGATAAACAATAATCAAATGACAAAGCATCAAAACACAAATGACACTTAAAGCACGTAAAATACACCACATGATACTTTGTGCTTTCAGTCTCCCCTTTTTTGATGTTTGACAAATATGCGAGATTATTGTTGATGAAATAACCAACGCGATATTTGGAATTTGAATGAGACATAATGAGTCAGGTGATTAGCGCACACTACTTTCCTTGATTTGTAAAAGCTTGTAAAGTCCCCCTTGATTTGTAAAAGCTTATAAGTCCCCCTGCATTAAACACTTAATGCGCGTAAATATTGACAATATATCAAATACTCCTCCCCATTTGTCAAATATAAAAAATGGAGAGAATCAAACAAAAATGCATATCAGAGTCCTATATAGTAAAAAAGCCAACAAGAAATGTCATACTCAGTGAATCACAAACACACCACACAAATTGCATTATAAACCTAAGTCACAAATACACATCCCATCTTTGGACACACATTCATAATCAAGAATCTTCAGTGTCAAAAACTACTCATCCTCTTTGGGCATAATCCCATTTGCTTCCAAAATCATCTGAAAAAAGAAGAATAGAACAAATGAGCCTTCTTGGTGTCCCTACAGTAAACCATCCTCCCAACAATATACTTTGCCTAACTCATACCATAGTTACTAGTCAACAGTCACATGAGATACAAATCATGATCATCAGCACATTCCAAATTTCTCGATTTCTTGTACAAAATCTTTACAATAATCTAGTAGAGCAGACACATGTCAAACTTCACCTGATTGATGATAAAATTTAACATAACTGAAGACTCAACAATACTCTTAGAGATAGCCAACACATGTGAAACCTTATCATAATTAACCGAAACAATATCAACTAAAATATCACTAGAATTCAAGTCAAGATAATCCATAAAATTACAGAAATTAAACTTGACTAACATACCTTGAATCTACTCTCTAAACCAGTATGAGTCACAACTAGATTACTGTAAAAATAAAAGTGTAATTTAACAGAATACACGTTTAATACATTATTATTTTTTTTTAAATTTAAAAATCTAAAAATTCAACCATTCAATTTTAATTAATAATTTTAATTGAATAAAATAAAATATTTAACAGTTAGATTATAAAATTTATTGAATTATTAAATAGATTAACGGACTCTAACTCAAAGTTAACAAAAACAAAAAAAAAAAGAAAAAAAGAAACAAGAGAAACACATTGAAGAAAAGTGTGAAAACGAGAAGAACCATAGTCGGCAGAGCATCCATTAACCCAAAAACAAAACACGAATCCCAAACAAGCTCAATACGCACCGTTTCGACAAGCACGAGGCTTCTTCTTCATTTTCTGGTAAATTTTTCACTTTTTTTCTACGATGACCTTTTCCAATGCCATGCCATCATAGTTATATTTGACTTTTTTAATAATCGCTTTTTTTTCTCCTCAATTAATTAATTATTATATAATCGTTTTTTTCTTTCTACTTCTCTTCTCTTCTCTCCCTCCAACAAACAAGAACCCTTTTTTCTTCTTTCTCTTCGTTCCTATTCATACCTCTTTTTCATTTCATTCTATTCATCATCGTTTTCTCTCAGATTCTCTCTGCTATTTCTAGGTTAATTTCGCTTTTCCTTTTCCTTTTCAATTTCCAATTTCAGCTCTTCGATTCATTTTTTCCTTTTCATCCCTAACCTTAAATTTAGAAAACGCGCTTTTTTTTTCTCTTCATGTTTTTATTTTTTAATTTTTGTTTTTTTTTCTTTATGTTGTGTTATTAATTCAGTTTCAGAGCAGAATATGAAACTGAAGATAGATACTGGTGTAGTTTTGAGGAATCTATATGTTATGATCTTGGATAGTATATGTTATTAGGGTCAAAAAGTGCTTTTTTTTTAATTTGATTTTTTAATTGTAAATTTTTACTTACGGTTGTTTGTTGAAGACAAGTTTTATGTAGAAGCTTTGAGGGAGATGAAAGGATATGATTGTGGGACCCAGTTTATATATGCTAGATTCCTTTTTCTGAGCTTATGAAATAGTATTAATTCTTGAGAGTGACTTGTAGGTTTTGATCATTTTTTGGTGTTGTTTGTATTACTAGTACGTAGCTGTCACTATGCTTTTGTTTTTAGTTTTTGGAATAAATCACTATGCTTTTACTTTCATTCTTTTTTTTTTTTTGTATTGCTTGTAAGTTATTCAGATTGATTTGAGATTTGTTGTAGCTTTAATACTTGTCATATTTTGCTTTTGTTTTTTTGTTTTGAATTGAAGTTGATTCTAAGGGAAATTGTTGTGTTTGTATTTTTTAGGAAGGAACAAATGTCTGGAGTTACGAAGGAGGAAGAGTCGGGTAGTCCTAGTTGGGGTGCTTCGTTTTTAATGCAGACAACGGAAGATGTGGCTAAAGCGGTCACTGCTGCTATGAATACTCCAAGGCCGTCTGTTATTTATTCGTCGAAAAATGAACAGGGTGGTAGTCAACTTCAAAGGCTGCAGTATCAAGTTACGAAAATGATAAAAGGGTTTTCTCGTCCTCCTGAAGTTAAATATGCGAATTATAATCCGGAAATCTTGACGAGTCAGAAGCGTCAATGGGCTGCTAACTTTCATTTGCAGTACAATGTAATGTCTTCTGATTGAATGTTTATTCTACCCTTTTTGCTATAATAAACTATAAAGGACTTAAGCTGGTTGCTGTGTTATCAAATATCCGCGATTGCGGCGCTATGACTGATATACGTGGTGGTTTTTGGACTCGCTGCAATGGTAAATATCAGCCGATATTGCGGGTTTTTCAGCCATAATCCACTATAACGGCGCCACAAAGCTGTATGGCGGATTTTGGCTCTCCGCCATGGACCACCATCTGCCATGGGCAACACTGACTGGTTGTTATTATAGGTTCTTTTTGTTGTTTTTCCTTGTTTGGCCCTTAGCATGGGGTTACATATTTGAAATTTCAATTTTTAAACATAGTATCTGTATGTTTTTCTACGTTAGTTTTGTTTTTAGTCTTTACGCCTTTTCTTTTTGACTCCACTCACACACAAACTCATAAATTTGGTGGCCTGTAGATAGTTCGAGACTCTTATAATCTACATGGTATTTGTTTTCTTAGGATCACAAGTCTTGGAAGGAGCCAACAAAGTTGTTTGAAAGTATGGTGGTTGTTGGGCTTCATCCTAATTCTGACATTCAGGCGCTGCAAAGGCAATATTTGGTGAGGAGGTCCGAAGGTTCTGGTAAATTGAGAAGTGCACTTGGTTATCAAAATCAATCCCGTGTGGAGCCAAATGTTGAACCTCAGGTTTTGATCATTGGATACAAATATTGAATTATTATTAGTACTGTAGTTTTCATTTTTATTGTGTCTGTCTTGTGATTGTACTTGTTACTCCCTCCGTCTCATAATAAGTGTCTCATTTGAGTTCCGTGCGGTTGTTTAAGAAAATGATTAGATGTGTTTGATTTTAATGATAAAATTAGTATAATTTACTAAAACACCCTTATTTATTATAGTTAATAGAGTAGTTGAAATGCGTGAAAGCTAATAAATAAGGGTATAGTAGTGGAAAAAAATAATAAATGTTGTATTGGTATTCTAAAGAGACATTTATTTTGAGACATAGAAAAAGTGCAAATGAGACACTTATTATGAGATGGAGGGAGTATATGTTTATAATATATTACTACTATGACCAGTTCAAATTTCGTCAACCACTTTCTTATCAATATTATTCCCTTCTAATGTATCAATATCATGAAATTTTTTGCAGGTCTTATTTGTTTACCCTCCGGAAAAGCAGCTACCTCTTAAAGAAAAAGATCTTCTTTCTTTCTGTTTCCCTGGAGGTCTTGAGGTTAGGTCTAAGCTAGATGAACATTTATGTCTATTCATATTCCTATCTATCATTGGTATTACTATCATCACCATTTGTACACTATATTCGTAAGAGTAAGATCAACCCAGGTTACATCTAGCATTGGGAAATTATTTCAGCAAAAAAAAGTTCTGGCAGATTACCTCTAGATCATGAAAGCTTTTAAATTTCATAGTGTATGCATGTCTATCTTCTGTTGTATTTTCTTTCGTTTTAAGGGAGTTTGAATATATTGTTGTCATTATTTTGAAAGCAAAGAATATAGTTTGGGCCCCTGTTTTTTGTATAGCTTAAGAGGCAAAGGCCGTGAAGCCTGGGGTGGGGATAGGGTAGAGGGTGTAAGGCTTTACTCTCGTGAAGGCCTAAAAGACTAAGAGAACATCTCTTGTGTAGAAAATACACACTTATTTGCTTATATTTGGTACCGACTGTCTATATTATTATAATAACAGTAAATGTACCCTCAATCATCATCATTCATATTTCATAGTCTTTGAAATTATTGCATTGTTCTGTGTGTCATCTATATGAATATATTTACTTGCTTGCATTTAGATTTATTTATTTTAACGTGAAAAACTTCTGTAAAGCTTTACTTAGGTTTTTCTTTTTCTTGGATGTTTTTTAGGTTAATGCTGTTGAGAAAACCCCTTCCATGAGTGAATTAAATGAAATTCATTTCGGACAGGTATTTACGTAATTTTATGCTTCCGTAAAGTTTACGCATTATGCATATTATTTTTTTAGGTCACTGTTGGATTGATATTTTAATAAGTTAACAAGTCATGCATCTTCAACTTCATTGAATATAAATACATGGTATGATAGAGTTGTAAGCTTACTCTGTACCAAGAGCATTTTATTCTTGCTTGATGTTTAGTTCTTCAAAATTTGAAGATTTTTAAACCAGTTTCTTGAAATTAAAGACTATTAATAGTAATTAGTGGTTGTCCGTATCTATGAAAAACATATTTCAGAGTTTGGTTGCTGAGCCCTTTATGCTTCCTTTACTAAAGCTTGCCCTGCTAAATGTTTTGTAACTGATTGTGTTGCTGCAACTGGCTTGTTATCACTTATTTTTGTCAGATATTATGTGAGATTTTTTAATCAAAATTTCATATATTTGTGAGTATTAATGCTAATTTATTTGATGAAGTTGGAGGCATATCTTAAGCTTTTAAACACATAGTAATACCAATTGTCATGTTTGTATATTGTTTTTTTCAGGAACATTTTAAACAAAGGGATCTGTCATTTGTATTTAGGTTACAGGTAACTGAAGAGATTCAATCCTTACTTTTTTTTCACCTTTCTTACCTTTTTTTTCTTTTGCTGTTTTTTTCAAGTGCTTTGCTGACTGACTATATAACTGGGCTTTTGTTCTCTCTCCTAAAAAAAATTACATTTTAAGGACGGAGATTGGATCACATGAAACATTTTTCATAACATGTTATGGAATTATATTAGAGATAATGTGAAAATACTATTCATCGGTGTTTTCAATATTTCTCCTCTCCAATGGATCTTTTTAATTATTCCTAATAAAAATATTATTTTAGAAAATAAATGAAAAGGGACTAATGGTAAAAAACTCTGCTTAGGATGTTGAGTCAGGTAATTGTTTAATAGTGTTCAGAGTGGCTCACAAGTTACTCATTATTGTGCATATGTTTAATTGATCCTTTACTTCAAACTTTTGCTAGATTGGCTCTTAAGCGTCCTTTATTTATTTTTTATTTTTTATTTTATATGGTGTACTCATTCCTGTACTGACAATATTACATCTTTGTATTATTTTATGCCATAGGGTGCTGATAATTCAACACTTTATGGGTGTTGTGTCTTAGTTGAAGAGCTAGTGCATAAACCCTCTGGATTGCTTTCCATGATTACGGTTAAGCAGTCATCTAACTCTTCTTTGAGACGCCATATATTAACCACACAAAGATGTTACTGCATTCTCTCAAGGCTCCCATTTTTTGAGTTGCACTTTGGTGTATTGAACAGGTAGGCATTTTGTAATAATGCTGAGTTCCCTCCCACAATGAGGAGTAATTGTTGAAAATATTTGCAATCTCATTTTCATCTGTTGTATTATGGTTTTGAAATATTTGCAATATCAATCTCATTTTCATGTATGCCCCAAAGCAGAAAAAATGTTCACTGAACACTTCTGATTTGGTTCAGTTTTACGGGATTACTCTCAAGTGATTTTTGAAATCTATATATGCATGTATTTTGTATATTTTTTAAACATTTATCAGTTTCAGAGGATGGGAAATAAAATAATATCTACATATCAGTGTTTGCTATGGCATTCACTCACTTATCTTAGTGTGTTGATATCTCTGTAGCATCTTCATGCAAGAAAGGCTGGAGCGGTTGACAAGAAGTGTCGAGTATTTTAATGAATTCCCTGAAGGTAGTTATGAGGGAGAAAACTTGGAAGGAAATTCAGAGAGTCTTGTGGTGAATGATAGGCTTACCAAAGACAAACTTGATGAGAGTCCAAGAATTTCTCAATCAAACCTAAAAAATTCCCAACACAACAACATCGAGGATGATAGTAATCATCAAAAGAAACAAATGGTTAATGAGGAGATGCATACACTTAAAGAGGGAGCAGATGATGACAATATTGTGTCTGTTCATCCTGAAACTGATGGAGAAATTGTCAAAGGAGTGTCTAGCCTTACAATTGCTGAAGATAGTAATACATATGGCAATGCTTTGGCAACAAACAAACAGTCAGAAGATAGGCGTTTACCAAATGCTATTTTGCCCCTCCTTCGGTATAACCAGTATGAAAGCTCCGAATCTTCCTGCAGGTACATGACATTGTGATTTCTAATTCTCTTGGGATGGTTGTGTTTTCTAATTCTCTTATTTTTTTTCTTAATATTTTTCCCTCTAATGAACAATCTTTACTATCCAAACAAATTCTGTTGTGTTGCAATTATGCCCTGTTTGGGTAAACAACTTTTTTTGCTGCTTATACTACAAGTGCTTATCAATATAAGCACTTACGAATAAGCTTACATAAACTATTTCTATAGCCAATGATAAAAGAAATGTTAAATTGTTTTTGTATATGCTATAAGCTGCTTTCATAATATATCTTGGAAAACTTATGTAAATTAGCTTTAGCTTATGAAAAATGTAATAAGTTGTTTTCATAAATTCTCCCTAACAGTCTTGAAATTCTGGTATAACAGAACTCAGATGTCCTATGACATGTTGGGACATCTGATCTGAAAATAACAAACACAGACAGGGTATAAACATTGAAATCGGTACTGAAAAGCAATAAACAACAGACCAGAATTGTTAACCCAGTTCGGAGCAACTCTCCTACTCTGGGGGCAATACCAAGCCAGAGACAAGTCCACTAGGATAGTATCAATTCATAGACCCTACAACAAACATACCAGTTTACAGTCTACTCACTTAATCACTACCCGTGCTATACTTCTATCTAAGACTCACCTATATATGAGACCCTCCTCAATTCCTCATCAATCACAGATAGCGATTGGACAACAACAATTCTGAACAAACAGGAAGACACACTTCCATGACAATACCTAGTCAAGACCTAAAGCTAAACACCGTTTACAACTTTACTCCTAACTAAGAATACAACTTGGAGTTGCTTACAAGCTTCCTCCAAGAACAATACTCAACTCATTATTTCACACCATCTCACAACCCGAGTGATTCACTTACACCAACTCTCCTAGAGAGTGGCTACAGACTCGGTCCTAATGATTACATCTTTTCAAAACACGGATGATACCTTTCTTAGGTTACGTACTACTATTTTTTATAACCTATATCCCAACTGGATTTGGGCCTTCAACCACAGCTCATCAGCTGTTACAATTCTGCATAACAATAGGTCTTCAATCAAATCTTCCTAATTTATCTCCATAATTAGAAAGTGCATATTCTTCAATATTCTTCTTGGTTCTTCTTGACCTATAAAACAGCGCCACATAAGATTGTATAATATTCATAGAATATTATGCATCGGTTAAATCATAACAGAATCTAACTGTCCACTTCAGCTCAGGCGCGATGTCGTATGCTCCTTCATTGGACATCTTATACGACATGTTCCAAATGATGAGAACTTCTCATCTCAACACTCTCAACATAAGATAGGACTTCTTGCTCAACCTGTTTCTGTTAGCAAGTTAACATCTCCTATCTAATATATTGATGTCTTATTTGTTTTACAAAAATTAATGTCAATTCTAAAACTAGAAAATTTACAAGTCTCATAGAATTTATGTCACAAAATAAACTCAGATAAGCTAATCCAAACAAGCCCATGTCTGCTTTATGCAGCTTCCAAATTTCACCTTGTAAACATAGGAATGTTGGGAGTTATTCATTTCTTATAATGCAACTCAAACACATGGTCCGATTTATGCAGTTTTCAAGGTTCACCTAGTGAAGATAGAAATTTCAGGAGTGATGCTGATGATACTGAGACAGAAGAGGCTTCATTCTCAGGACAAGAAGATTTAAATGACCTACATGAGATTCTTGAATGGGCCAAGGTTTGTAATTGTAAATACACCTAGTGTTGTTATTATTGTCTGGTGTTTTGTACTGATAAGACATTACTGATGTTATTATTGCTGATATTACTTTACCAATTCACAGACTAATAATTGTGGACCGTTACAAATTATAAGTGAGTATTATCGTTTTAGTTGTCCTACAAGGGGATCGACACTTATCTTTCATCCTTTGGAGCACCTACATTCCTTGGAATATCACAGGCCAGATGAGAATGCTCTTTATCTGTCTGGTTCACTTATTGGTTTGAAATCTTGTAGTACAGGTCTGGGATTAGCCGAGGTATGCTGGAATAAATTTTTGATTGGACTAAATTACTTTTATTTTACTTTCTGTCTTTTGGGTTGTCATGTTTGATGGTCATCGTAAACAAGTACTTCATTTTTGGTCTGTTCTTTTTAGGCACAAAATTGTCTTCTGGTTGCAGAGGAGGCAACTGCATTATCTATATGGGCTGTAGCGTGCTTATGTGGTACCTTGAGACTTGAACATGTGAGTTCTGTTTCTGCCAATGATTTTACGAAATCCATTTTCCTTTACCCTTTATGAAATCCATTTTCCTTTACCCTTTATGAAATCCATATTCATGGTAACACCGGTTGAACTTATGGGTTTTACGTTTTAAATAACGAAAGGAGAGAAATAAGTAATAGTAAAACCAATCATATGTGATAAACTAAATAACTATATCTTAATATCAATGTAAGATATTTCATATATTCTAACACACTTCCTTAAGCTATGTTTGTTGCAAATATGCCCTTTGAAATGCAAAAATAAGCAAATACAAATACGCAGTCAGTCTCAAAACCACAACTTTCTTGAACAACAAGCAAACCAAAGCACAATGTAACAGAGGTTGAGTTAGATAATAATATAGGGAACATGACAAGAAACACTCAAAATGTAATGCACAACAAGGGTGTGTGAATGAGCAGAGGCAACAAAGGTGCCTATGAACAAGTGAGAGCCAAAGGGGTCCAAACAGCCTAAAAAGCGGCAAAGAAACTACCAAAAGTGGGACCCACGACGAGTAGGGGTGGGAATGGGTCAGGCCGCCTGAAAGGGGCCTATGGCCTGGCCTACTTAAGTCTTGGCTTGTTCTGGCCCGTTTAATAAAAAAGTCATGCTCAAACTCTTTAAAAAACCATTTTATTTAAACAATCCAGACTTAGGGCCTGTTTGGGTTGACTTATTAGCGCTAATCTACTAACATAAGTTTTCTGACACTCTTTGGTAGTCCTTATCAAAACAGATTATGAACTTTTTCTTAATCTTTTTTTAGTTTTTTTTGTAAGTTCTCCAAGAACATAATATAATAATAGTAAGAAAAATTTCTCTAGATAATTACAAAATGTAACGCAGGTCGGATGCTTTTCTATTATGGTTTCATCTATTAACCTTTTTAGAAGCAGGTCGGATGTTTTTTAAAGTCTCAACACAAAGTAGGCTTTTAAACAGATTTGGCTTAAAATAAAATCTATGTCATGTAATAGGCCAGGCCAAAACCTTTGCTTTTTTTAGTAGGCCTGACTCGTTTAAGCAAGCTCTGCCAGGCCTATTTCCATGCCCAGAAACACATAAACAACAATGCTGGCTTTATTAAAAAATAAAAATGCTGACACACAACAGCAGCATAGAAACTCAAGTACACAGAAATGCACAAACATGAGCTAGCAGAAGTGAAGAGAGCCTGTCTTACGCCTTCACTGGAAGATCTATAAAACCTAACAGTGCTGCAACAAAAAAAGAGGGGTGAGCTGTTTCTGAGCCACAATCATCAAATGATAGCAGATGCAAGTAGAGGAGATAGGCAAGCTGGGTAAAAGCAGTAGCAACCTAAGATGAGGTATCACGTGCCGTCATGCTAGTAGGAGAGGAAAAGTAATGTCTATCACGAGCCAAAAAACTGTGATCAAAACAATCAACCTCAAACATTGGCGGAATCACGAAGAACACAAACAAACGGCACAACCCAAAAACAAATTTAAGAGAGACAAAAAGAAACATACTATTAAGAGTTCTATGTCGGAAATATATGACCTGAACATATGGTATAAGTGGAGACAATCCTCACCTTATAAGCTGGTTTTGTAAGGTTGAGTTAGACCCAACCACAATTCTAAGATGGTATCATAGCCTTGTTCAAAGATCTGTTGGGCCACCTGCCATCAGTTTTCTGCTATTGGACCACCCACCAATATTCACACACCAGACCCAATAGTGCCGGACGTGAGTGGGTGTATAAGAGTCCCACATCGGAAAATATATGACCTCCTATCAGATTTAAATGTATTATAACAATTGTTTCCCGATTTAAAAGAGGTGATGTTAGTTATTGATTTAGTCACGTTAATGGCTTTATGTTGATGTAGTTGGCCACTAGAGCTGAAATTTAGCGATCTGAGCATAACGGTTTCATAATGATTGTCTACTAGTCTTACAGCCAGATGATGTTGGTTTGCAGGTGTTAACATTCTTTGCCGGAGCTCTACTGGAGAAGCAGATTGTAGTTGTCTGCTCTAATTTGGTATGTGTTCCTCAAATTATGTTAGTAATGATCTTGTGTTGATGATCAACATAACTCTTCAATTTGTATATTGCTGCAAATGGGTTAGCCACTTTTTATACACATGTTTATGGTTTAGTTCTTCAGATTCATTATTATTAATTTATCAAAATGCCACTGTTAGTGACAATAGTACTTGAATTTGTAGTGTACTAAGTCATGTTAATTATTTTAAATCTGTGAAGTGTGTTTAACCTTTAGTTAGTCACTCTCGCAATGAATTGTGAAAACCACACTACTTTTTAAACCTAATCTTTGCTCATCCCAATTTGAATTGTTGATATTTTTCTTGAAGTTCTTGATGGAAACATTTTTCTTCATGATCAGGGAATCTTATCTGCATCAATTCTATCAGTTATTCCACTAATCCGACCCTACCAATGGCAAAGCTTGCTAATGCCGGTATGATTTCTCTCCCTTCACATTTAAAGTAAATATTAATTTTCATATTTTTAACATGTCTTCTCCACTTTATATATTTGATGAGAACATACTTTCCAGGTTTTACCAAATGACATGCTTGACTTTCTGGACGCTCCTGTTCCTTACATAGTGAGTATTCAGTTCATTCTTAAAGAACGCATCTGCTTCAATTCATGCAATTATTATTATTTATTATTTATTTCTACTTTGGATTTATGTATACTTTAATCCATGTTAAATTGCTGAATGCATGCCCTCTGTACACAGGTAATTGCTACTTAGATAATGATATCAAATATATTGCTTTGTAGCTTGTAAAACCCATTTATTATTATATTTCATAAATTGGAGCATACAATTAGGTTTGTTACTGTTAATTGTAAATTTGGTTCAACTGTTGTTATTTTGCCCTTTTCTATTGATAGTATCATTTCTGACATGTGACTGGTTAAATTATTTTCGTAGGTTGGTGTTAGGCATAAGACAAATGAAGTTCAGACAAAGTTATCCAATGTTATTCTGGTTGATGCCAACAGAAACCAGGTCTGTAATTTTTCTGCAGTTTCCCAATGCCAATAAAATCAAGTGATTCCTGTTATCTTCAAAATTTTAAATTTATGGATGCAAATGGGTGCAAGCTTATAATTGCATATGTTGTTGTATTCATACAACTGGATTAATATAATTTGCTTGTGATATGCTTGCACATTTCACATTCTGCGTTCTTTCAAGAACAAACTATTATCTTTGAGTTATTATATATCAAAACTAGCACTAGATTTTTTTCAAGTTTACATTTCTAATTCTGGCTATTGAACTCCACATTAAAAAAAAACCTAAACTATTAAAACCAAAACTCTTTATTATTTTCAATATTTAAAAATCAAGCACGCTTTCAGAGTTTAATCACATTAAACCTTTTTTTTTCAAAATTAAAATCGGATGAAAAAGGAATGGGTGGATGTACATCCACTTGCTCCTTGAATAAACGGGTGGTTGACTTATGCTTCATTGCTCGAATATTCGTCTTCCGAATAAATACACATTAATCGAACTTGGATGAAAACGGATTGGGTGGATGTACATCCATAGACCTCTTCATTTCTTTTGGTAAAAAAAGCTAAACTAATAAAAAGTTTTTTTTTTTGGAATTGTGAGTGCATACTGTAGTTTTTCCCTGTAAAAAATTGGGGCTTAGCTCTTGAATTTAGTTGTTTTCTAAATTGCTATATTTGAATTCCATTTTTATGCCTATTTTCTGAATTACAGAGAGATACGCATGGTTTGTTATACTTTTGTTTTTAAATAGGTGAAGTCACCGACAATACCTCAATTGCCAAGACAAAAAGAGCTAATGTCTTCTTTACGTCCTTATCATGCAACTCTTGTCGGAGAAAGTTACTTGGGTAGGAGAAGGCCGGTGTATGAATGCACGGAAATGCAGGTGTGCCCTCATGATTCATCTGTTCATTGTACCATATTCTCTTATTTCCTCTTTATTGCTGTCACTCTCCCGTTTGGTATCTTGAATAGCAACCATTTTTGAAAGGCTAGTTATCTGTTTGACTAATAAGTTCAACTTTATGTTAAAGTTTCATCTAGTTGGTTATAAGTTTGTAGAATATTTTCTGTTTGAAATTATTAACGATCTTCTCAACATATCATTTTATATTCTCATATTTTTTGTTTTATTTGTCCAACAGTTAGAAGCTGCCAAGGGGTTCTTATCTGTGTTAAGATCTTATTTGGATTCCCTATGCTGTAACATCCGTTCACATACAATAACCAATGTACAATCGAATGACGATAAGGTCTGTATTTTTGTCACCATGTTAAACATTATTGACAGATATTATAATTTTACACTTGAATGATTGTCTCTATTCTTAAGAGGACAATTATTTCTAAAACCCAATTTCAATATAATTCTTTATGTTCTTCACTTTCAAGATCAATAATATTACAAAAACTGGGGAGATAATTTGAAGTATGGTGAGAGATAGAGGATCATATAAATTTCAATAAGAAAAAATACATACAGTTAAATTAATAATTAAACAAGTTTTAAGTAAATTTATGGGTTGTAATGGTAAGGCACAAGAACTTGTTTTAAGTAAATTTATGGGTTGTAATGGTAAGGCACAAGAACTTCATCATTTCTTAACATTTACATGTATTGCAAATAAAATATTTTTGAAAGTATTTTGAAGTATGATGTGGCTCATTATTCAGGTATCCTTGCTTTTGAGGGAGAGTTTCATTGACTCATTCCCTTATCGTGATCAGTCTTTCATGAAGGTATGATTCGTGAACCTTAGATCAACCCTTTGTTAATTATGCAAACAAATTTAATTCATATACGCATTCTGGTTTTAAGTGATCTAAATTGTAAACATATATTTGATTTCCTAAGAGAATGTATATGTTAACCTAATTTCCTAAGAGTATGTATATGTTAATCTAAATTGTAAATATATATTTAATCTAATTTCAAAACCTATATTTAGTATGTATATGTTATTTAGTATGTTCATGTGTATTATCCTCATGATTGTTAATGCTGATTGTTTCTCGTTTGTTGCTTTGTCTAAACAGCTTTTCGTGGATACACAACTGTTCTCTGTACACACAGATCTTGTGCTCTCTTTCTTCCAAAAGGAATAGGAATGAAATACAAATCATGTTGAGAATGTTACTTCTTTTGTAAAGTATTGCACACAAGTTCAGTGTTGTATAATTTCTCTAAATTATGAGGTAAAATTTTGTCCCATACATGCAGTGATAAATTCCGTTCTCTTTTCTCCCTCCCCTAGGCTTTTAGTACAACCTGTACATAGTTAAGTGAGATTCAATCTTCATTAGGAGATTATAGGTGTTTTCATTTAATGTAAATGACATTTTTTTATACACATGTAAAATCAGTGCTTTATAGGATATGACCAATGTTATTGAATTGTGGCTATGGTGTTGCAGAGTTTTACTTAGCAAGAAAATGTCTTGGAAATTTATCTGAGTTGTGTCAATCACAAAAGAGAAAAAACATTGCAGAGATCTGTGTTTCTGTCAGTGTTTAATGTCTCTATTGGTGATCATTATTGAAAACATAACGAAAATCTGATGTATGCTCCATTACCGAGTTTTAGTAGGCTGGGTGGGAATATGCAATTCTCTTTTAGTACCAAGTTTATGCAATTCTCTTATTAAATTAAAAATGATATCAATAATATTAGTTAAAAGATATAATTAAGAAAAATCATTAAAAATTAAAAATGTACACATTTTCAAATGTTTAGGTAGGTCATTCAATTTAAAAGAGGATATTATGCAATTATGGTTACTACAGGCTATGGTATGAAAATTACAAAATTCCCACATTTTCAAATGTCTTATTAAGTAGGTCATTCAATTTATAAATGATGTTATCATTCAATTTAAGAGGATATTATGCAGTTATGGTTACCACAATCTTATGGTATGAAAATTAAATATTCATGAATTTATAAATGAGTAATAAAAAAAATTCATATTAGCAAAGATGTTTTTGTAGAGATACACGAGTTTTCTTCTTTATAAATGAGTGAAATAAAAAAAATTCATATTAGCAAGTATATTTTTACATAAGGTCAGTCATTTGAGAGCTAGTCTATGTAAAATATATATTATCTTCAATAGGTTTATTATTTTATAAAATATTATCAACATGAACCACATACTCAGAGTTGCATCGTTTAGAGATCTTAGATCTCTCATTTTGTTGTCACCAGATCTCTGTTATTTTGTTGTTACGAGTCAGTTTGATGTGATAGATATAAATTTATTGATAATCAAATTAATTTTGTAGTATTTTAAGTTAAAAATTTATTTAAATTTTAACTTTTGGCTGATAATATATATTGCAAACATATCAATTTTTTTTTCTAGAATATTTTTTTTAATGAAAGAGTGGGACAAGTTGGGTAGCATCCGCGACTAATAAATGGCTAATATAAGCAAGCATAATAAAAAAAATACATACATCTAAATAGAATAAAAAAAATACATACATCTAAAGTTTACTAAGGCGTCAACACAATGATTGGTTACTGATTTAGATTGGGTCTATATTTGTCCTTCGAACGAGAAGTCTAAAGATAGTCCAAGTTAGGAACCGTTGGGCAACTCCCTACCGATCGTTGGAGGACGTGGTCCACGATCCCACGACAGCCATCTTAAACTGTCCTCCAAAATTCACGGGTCCAACCCTGTTCTCGCGGAGCAGTTGATCAAGGGGGAATCCACACACACGTAAGCCCTGGCAGTTCCTGTTATTGGGCTTCAACGTGGCCCAATAATGGGAACCTTGGCTCAGCAATGGGGACTATAAATACCCTCTCTCCTAAGAGGGTCAGATATCCAAGTAATCTCTCTGAACTCATACTTGCTTGTTCATTCCGCAACTTACTTTGCCATCGAAGTATCTTGCAGGTACTCCTCTATCTCATTCAACTTCTGCCAGAGTTAGCTGTGACGATTCATTTTTGATCGGATAAGATTAGTGGCACCGTCTGTGGGGATCTTGCTTCCCCGTCTTCTATTTACTTGAGATCAAAGTTAAACAATCCCCGACTGTCATGGCTTCAGAGAACATGAACGTCCGTATCATCGACGTCAATAACAACACCGTCGACAACAATGTCGGCCTCGACAACGCCGGTACCACCGGCATAACACAACCCTCGACGTTAATATGCTCGAACCTTCTGACTATAGAGATGGAGCAACTGCTTCGTCATCATCACTGCCTCGTCTACTTGAAGATGATCGACCACCTCCCCAGAACTACCAACACGTTCAGTTCCATGAGGTCCCCGTTCTTGTTGGGGCAGACGCCACGACCAGAGCACTGTTCACGATAATAAATTAGACCAACTACCTGATCTTCGCCCAGGGAGAAAGATTGAGGGCGCTCGAAGACGATCAGAGACCTTCAAGAAGACACAGGAGACCTCAATCTCCTCTTCCTCGACAAGCAGAGGAACATCCCCAGTCTCTCCCGCAGAGACGTAGTCGGGACATCTCTCGAAGCCTGTCTCCCCGACCAATCGGGTGACGAACTGCGTTAGAATGGGAATAACCCGTTGACACGGGAAGGCGCGATCACGGCCCATCGCGTCAAGAACGAAGACCCCCTGGAGACAGAAACGAGGGAAACCACGAACGACCATACCGTCGAGGACCGCTCCGCGCGACCAGGGCCATCGTAACCGCCACTACATCAGATCTTTGTCTCGCTCGCCTGAACGGAGTGACGAGGACGACCCCTGCGGTCCCTTGTCACAAGCTATCAGGGAGGCACCCATTCCCCTGGGCATGAAAAGCCTCCCCACGTAAAGGAATACGACGGAATCGCCGACCTGATCGACCTTATAGACGGGTTTGAAGCCATGCTGCACTATCACAATGTCGGGGAACCGATCAAATGCCAGTTGTTTCCCACGACTCTGAGGAAAGCTGTGATGGAATGGTACAAAGGTCTCGTCCCGGGGTCAATTACCTCTTGGCGAAATCTGAAGAACCAATTCATCAGTTCATTAACTGTTTCGCGACGACACCCGAAGACCGAAGCAGCCCTCGAGGACATCATTCAGAGAAACGATGAGACCCAAAGGGAATTTATTGATCGGTTCAACCGGGAGGCCATCCAGGTCCCCTGTACGGACCAGATGAAGAGATACCTGCTCGAGAGGGGACTTCTCTCGGGCACGAAATTCAGAAAGGCCGTAGGCATCGAACTACCCTGGACATTCGATGCCCTCCTCGAGAAGACCATAGCCTACATACAATACGAGGAAAGAGAAGCGGCTAACAGAACCTGGGATCCCAGGAATCACAGATCTATCAGTCATCTGCGATAAGACACCGCCCCTCCTCGACGAACCAGCGAGAAGAGAAGGGACGACAAACCCCGAGATGCCAGGAAACAAAGGGGACCCTCGTGGAGTTTCACTGAGTACACTCCGCTAAGGCTTCCCACGAGCGCATCCTAGCGGAGTGCGTGAATACAGATTTCAAGGACGGAGACGTCAAGCGTCCTCGCCCCGCTCCTGCTAAACCCGGGGTAGATTGAAGCAAGTACTGTAAGTATCACCGGAGCCATGGGCACTTGATCAAAGATTGTGTCCATCTCAAGGACGTCATCGAGACCCTCATAATAGGGGGGAGACTCAGGCAATATTGGCGCGGAGACACCCCTCGTTGAGATGCCCGTGAAACGAGGGAAGTAGAGGAGGATGCCCGAACATCTGACGAGTCGGTCCCCATCCAAACCGTGTTCTCTGTCACGAGACCGAAGGAATTTTACGTCCTCGATCATATGCAAGAGCCTCTGTCTACGCACAACAGGTGGGAAAACTTCCCCTCCGCCATGGTCATCAATGGTGGAAGGTTTAATAATTTGACCATAAATTCAGCAAAGAGAAAGCTGGACGAACTGGTCGACGCGGCTCCCCCGCAAACGGTGACCTTTGAGAGGGTGAAAGGAAGATCAGAGCGGATCACCTTTTACCTCGAGGAGCTTCCTGGATGGGCCCCCAATTCATCCATCCCTCTTCTGATAAGGGAGAGAATGGCAAACTTTGACGTCCATCGCGTCTTGGTCGATGAGGGAAGTTCCGTCGACGTGATGCACAACCAACTATTCAGAACCCTACATCTCGATGACTCTCACCTTTCACCATACGTGGGGTCATACTTGCAAGGCTTTAATGGCTCGACCTCCAAGCCGTGGGGGTACGTGGAGCTTATGGTCACCTTCGACGAAGATACTTCTACCAGGTAGGTCAAGGTGCACTTCCTCGTCATAGACTGCCCATCCCTCTACAACTACATCCTTGGGAGGCCGACACTGGCAGAGCTGATCACGGTGCCCTCCACCGTCCATCTGAAGATGAAGTTCTACACCAAGAGGGCACGTGTCGCCACCATTCAAGGCGACCTAGCAGCCGCCCGAAGATGCTTCAACGCGGCGGCCAAGGGACACAACACAGTCGACACCGGGGCACGATCCGCCAAGAAAGCTGTAATTGCGTGACCAGAGCCTCAGCAGTCAGAGCCATAGCCCATCATAGCAGAGTTACAGAAGGCCCCTCCAAAGGTCGATTCGATCTCGTTGGACACTCGTTTCAACCAAGACGAACCCTCCAACGGAGAGTAGGTGCTCCTCTGACCAATTCCGGATGGGGACTTTGAGCTCGTCCCCCTCGGTGAAGACCCGAGCAGAGGGGGTAAAGATTGGCATCAAACTCCCCGACTTAGCGAGAAAGCAGATCAAGGCCTGCTTGAGGGAGAATGAAAATCTATTCTCATGGAGCACTGCAGAGATGCGCGGTCTCAACTGTCATTAACTCGCCATTGATCCAACCGCTAGAGTAGTAGTACAACGTAGGCGTAGGCAGTCTCCCGAGAAAGCAGGTGCTGCTGAAAAAGTTGTAAAAGCTGTAAAAGACTTCCTAGAGGCAAATTTTATTTATGAAGCCCGATATTCAACCTGGATGTCAAATGTTGTACTTGTTAAGAAAAATAATGGAAAATGGCGTATGTGTGTTGACTATACCGATCTTAACTAGGCATGCCTCAAAGATGCATTTCCCTTGCCTAATATTTACATGCTGGTCGACAACTCGGCT